TTGTATTTTTCTTTGGATCTTACCACCCATTTATATGTAACTGGTTTGTTTGAGTCCACTGTGTCCAAATCACTTGTTTGTGACAATCTAATTTCTAGACCAACAGTAAGCATCATTATACGTAACTGATTCTTTCCTTAAGTGGTAGAAGGGAATGAAATAGTTTTTGGATCTGGATGATACTATCGGTCATGGATTTCGTTGAAACTTTTGAGGTTCCTAATATTATTTTCACTGTTTTCTGATATTAATTTTCTGTAGTCATCTTTTGTTTTTCGTATTCCTTTCATTATGCACGATAGGGTGTTGAGTATTTAATTTAATTTTTAATTTTTTCCTTTAATTAATTAATTTTGTTTTTGAATTTCTAATCTGTTTAGCCTAACTTGAGGAGCAGCTTGGTGCTAGTATTTTTTGTTTTTCTGTTTTAGAACTGTGTTTCTTTATATTATGCAAAATATGATTTCCTGAATAATGGCCTTTGGTAATATCTTGAAGGAAAAGAAGAACTTGTCTTTAAATGAAGTGGAGGTTTCCAGGCTGGTTGCTATTGTTAAAATATTGAAGGACACGTCACATTATCATTCTAGTAAATTTGCCGAAGTTGACATTGCTATGTTGCTGAGGTTGCTAAAATCATGGCCAGTTGCAATGTTATTTCCAGGTGTAGTGTGCGGACGTCTGATGAATTTTGTATATAGCTCTGTTCTTCATATCTTTATTGGTCTAGGAGTGCATAGCCCATAATACTCCATCCAATTTAAGATTACAATTAAAAAAAAAAAAAAAAAAAAAAAAAAAAAAAAAAAAAAAATTACATTTACTTAATTTTTATTTTTCAATATAGAATCACCAAAATTGTCCAAGAATGAACTGAAGTTAAAAACAGGACGGTTCTGGTTATCTAATGTAATGACTATCCAATCTCAGATTGATAGAAACTGGTTGAGCTGGCTTGTGTCTGGTTGTGTCTTGGGCGTAATACTGTAATGGCAAGTTACCACGTTTTCTCTGCACTACTGGTATGAAGCTTAAGTGAATTCTTAGCTTTATGATTGAAAGCTACAGGTTAAAAGAAACACTAAAAAACAATAGAGAAAAGAGAAAGTTAAATGAATGGTCTCAGTGTAAGTGTGTATGGTAGTGAAATTTTCATTTTAAAAAAGTTAATGGGGTAGTCCTGCATGTGATGTCATACAAGTGATGTGACTACTCATAACATCTCCATTTTCAGAGGAGATCTGGTAATAAGAGTCATTATACACTTGGCAGTTTCTTAAGAGTATCAATAAGCTATGGCTTTTTATGTAGATTGTGGAATGCTTATGATTGTTGGTGTGTAGTTTTACTGTTGTGAATTGTATTGTATCCATTCTGTTCACACCTCGTGTGACACTTTTCAGAAACTTTCTTTGCCTACTCAGTGGATATTTTGTTTTCATCTTCAGTTATTGATACTTTGAGGATGATTGTCCTGCACCCTGATGGGGCAACTGTACTTCTCCAGCATGCTGAAGCTCAGAATGGTAATGATATTAGACATCATATTCCATCCTATGGTTTTATCTTGATAATGATATAGTTCTTATTTGAAATAGATAATTGTTTCACTTTCATTTATTTTCTATGAATTGTAAAAATACATATCACTAGACACTTGTACAAAAGAAAATGGGACTATATGATGAGGCCAGATGACCCAGGAACATTCTTAAGTTGATTTCTCCAGATGTATACATATGATACAAGTCAAACTTTTGCAACCTTCTTACTTTCTGTTGATGCTGTTCTTATTTCAAGTTCTCTATTTCTTACGTTTTGTACGATAACCAGATTCACTATTGGAAATGATCAAAAGAGTCGCAACAAATCCTTCACTTCCTGCTAATCTCTTAACTAGTGTTCGTGTTGTGACCAATCTTTTCAAGAATTCGTGCTACTACAATTGGTTACAAAAGCATCGGAGTGAGGTTAGCCTTCCTTTGCAATTGTTTCCTGACATAACATTGCTTTTGGGGTTTCTTAGTGATTTGAGAGGCTAATGGTCTCTTTCCCAGTCACATTTTCTGGTTTGCGCCTTACATGTTCTTTGCTTACAAACATTCAATTCTTTGTTGATGGTAGGGTTAATTATCTGTGGATATCTATCAGCTTTTTAGTTGATTCAATTGAAAATTCAGTACTGGGCATGATATCGTTGTCTGTAAAGTGCTCACAGATCTTTTTCAATTTCACCTTTAGTAAGTTCCATGTTTTGGGATTGGTTTGTATATAAGGGTCTCTGCTACATTTTGGCACCTTATAATGATTATGTCTTTTTTGCCTGTCCAGTACTTTTGATAAATAGTTTGATATATTTCTTTTTGCGATTCAAGGTTTGGTGAGGCATTACTCTGCTGCATGCTGCAATATGAATTTCAGATTTTTATTTATTTTTTAATGATTGCATGCTAACCTAATTCAAAACCACCGTACGTTTATTAATTTTGTGCTGCTTCCAACATGTAAATTAAATGTGTGTTGTATTTATTTATTTATTTTTTCGATGAATAATTTTTTGTTTAGAACATCTTGCAATTGTTTCAGGAATCATTAATTGAGTTTGATTTGAACAGTTTCCTGAATAAATCATTAAACTAGATTATCTAGCGGTAACTTTGTAGGAAACTTTATAGAAGTACTAAAAAATGTGTGTTTGCTTCTTTGTACTTAAATAATGATGGTTTGGGGGGGGGGGGGGGGGGGGGGGGGGGGGGGGGGGGGGGGGTGGTGGTTACACAGTTTGTCATGGTTAGTGCATCTTGAATTCTATATATCACGATTTAGTAACTTGATTTGTTGAATGGCTTTGCAGATTCTAGATGTGTATTCAAGTTGTTCTTCATCTCCGAATAAGAATTTGCAGTTATCATACGCAACCTTGATTCTCAAGTAAGTTTTCTGTTGACTGCACATGTTCTGTTACATGATACAACTTGTTCTTCCATCCCTTTCTTTCTTTCTCCAATTTTGTGATAATTCAAAGTTATAGGAAAAATGAAGACTGCAATGGCAACTAATGTTGGAAAGGGATATGTTTGTTGACATAATGTGCTCAACTTGGTATATAATTGTACTACTGTGTTGTAACTGATTGAGTTTTGATATTAACCTTTTGGCCTTTTCCTTTGAGCTTGACAGTTATGCTGTTTTGTTGATCGAAAAGAAGGATCAGGAAGGTCAATCGCAGGTTCTTTCAGCAGCACTTCAGGTTTAATACATCAACTTACCAGTTTACTGTTCTGATAGCCCCTTCATTGGCAGTTCGTGTTTTTTAAATTTAATGTCCTCAAAAGGCGAACATAGTAAAGAGGGCCCTTGCTCTTTTTGAGGTGGACTAGAGTATCTTTTTAATACTAGATATTCAGATGTCAGAATCATGAAAGTAATGTTTTGACTTTTGCAGATTGCAGAAGAGGAAAATCTAGAAGTTGATGCAAAATTTCGAGCTTTAGTTGCCATTGGATCACTGGTATGTTTTGAATACTTATATGTTATGGAGTTTAGGGAACATACTTGTGCTAGAATAATTGACATGTCAGTGTCATATAGCAGTCTTGGTTGCTACCTTGAATCAATGATGATCTTGCTTTTTTGTCTAAAACAGATGCTTGAGGGCCTTGTGAAAAAGATAGCTATCGACTTTGATGTTGAAAACATTGCTAAAATATCAAAGGCTTCGAAAGAAACCAAGATTGCTGAAGTTGGAGTGGACATTGAACTTTTAACAAGACAAAGCTGACTTTCTGAATATCTGGTAAATGGCAATCCCTGTCTATGAAACTCTCACCCAGCCCTGCCCTGCCTCTTTCTCTCTCTTGTTTGCATGGAAGCTTTGCACTGATCTCCTGCCCCCCTCCCTCTTCTCTCTGTCTTGTGTGTGCAAGAGAGCTCTCTCTCTTATGCATTTATTGTGGGAACCCACATGTATGGCTTTAAAATTACTTCAGCAGAGCAAACCCACATGTGGCTCTATATTGGAAAAATGGAATTTTGTTCAGGATGTAAAGCCTTGGTTATGCTAAATTAATTTGGAGGCCTTGTTGTGCTGGATTGATCTTGTAGGATATTAATTCTTCTTCTTCTTCTTTCTATGTCTCTCTAATAATTTTGATTACTCTTCACAGGAGAATATGGGGAAACGTTCATTAACAGGTCAAAGTGATTCAAGTAGGATTAAGCAACCGATATGGTTTGACTGCATCGCATCATCCATCCACATGATTCTGAATATATACATCACTTTGACATATAAACATTCAATTATTTTGGCCAAAAAAGGGATCCAACGTTTTAGGAACACCCTGGTTGGTTGTGACTATGAGAAGGCATCAACATCTTTCATTTGAAACTGAGTTTAGTGGAAAATATGAATGAGAAAATGTGTTACTAGGGTACCAATTGTACCATTAAAGGTTGTTGATGATGGAAAGCAGTTGAAAGGAATTGAACGTTTTTAAAGGCCTATGTGCTGCCCAAGTTCTATTAAGTTGTAGTTTCGATATTATTCTTGCTACAAATCCCCTTAGAATATTTCTATTTCATTCTCTGAGCATGTGATTTCAGTTTCTATTTTGTGATCCATGCTTATACAACAATGATAAAAGATCTGATTTTCAGTTCTTGATGAACCGAATTGAAGAATAAGAAAACCCTAAACTCACACACGGATACTCAAATGTTTTCAAATCTAACCTTATTGCAACTATTAGTTATTTGTCCGTTGGCATTTCTCCTCACTTCCGAAGTTCGAATTCTCCCTCTCTTATAAAAATTTTAAAAGAAAAAAAAGAACACAACAATATTTTTTTGTTTATTTATTTATTTTATACAAACTATAATCTAACTAAATTAATCTAACATGAGTGCAAGGCGGACTCTTTTGCACCTTTTTAGATACACTAAGCTAGGGAGATAACATTTATACGCTGCGGTCTCCTAACATTTTGATTGTTTGAGTATTATTTCCACTTGGCATAGAACTTTTGGTCACTCCACAGCAACATCCTGTTCAACGGAATCTCAACATTCCTCTCCTTCAAATGCAAATGCCTCGGCACTATTCTCTTCTCCAAACTAAACCCAAAATACTGAGGAAACTTCTTCAACTCATCCACACTCCTCCCCATCTCCTTCACCAAGTACTCATACTTGGGCCGCAAGTTATCCTCCACGCTGTACCCGAAAATCGCAGGGAGCCTCACACACACATTCGCTGCCTCCTCGTACGAAAGTGTCAAACTCCTCAGGAACTTCATCTTCCTCTTGAGCTTCTCCACCCTCGTGTTCAACAAATGTGCATTCAAATTCGTCGGAGCCCCGAGCTTCTCTAGCCCCAACTGTTTGAGATAATGCAGCGTGGGGCGGAGGCAGAACTCGACGTCGGAGAAGAGGAGGTCCGGGCAGCGGAGAATGAGGCCGCAGGAGGACGAGGGGTCGGCGGGGAGCTCGGCGGCGAGGAAGTCGAAGACTGGGGCGATGTCGGTGGGGTCGAGGGTTGGGGAGAAGAGCTTGGGGGAGAGGAAGGCGAGCCTAGGGAAGTCGGGTTCCGAAAAGCCCTTGGACTTGAGGAAATTTACGGTGGAGAGGATTTGGTCTGTGGCGTCGGGGAGGGGGAGTTTTTTGGGGTTGGTTTGAGGGGAGATGATACGCAGCGTTTTGAGATAGCGGAGGTTTTCGCGGTAGGATGTACGGAACTTGATGAAGTGTGAAGGAGGATGGGGATTTGAGGTGGTGAGAGAGGAGGAGGAGGAGGAGGGAGTTGGGATGAGGCAGAGCGTGCGAAGCATTGTAAGCAACTGTTTTAGAGAGAGAGAGAGAGAGAGAGAAGCAGTTGTGTTATGTGGATAAGGGGATGGATGGATGGATATGTGACATATGATAAATCTTGAAACCAATGGGACTCGGCCCATAATTGAATTTCCAATATTTTGTCAAGTTATTGAACTATTTAATTATGTTAAAAAATATTTTCGTTGGCATTGCTTATTTGGGATGATAAGTAATTTTTTTTAAATGTTGGGAATCCCAACACGTTTGATAAATTATGAGAAAATAACTCATTGTTAAAATTTGTTGTGAGAGAAAACTATAAGGAAAAACAGTTAATAAGGTGCTTTCATTTTCTGATTATGCGGAAATCAGTTTCGAAGAGGCGGTATGTTTAATATTGATTATGCAATGATCATTTTTTGATTATGCCGGAATTAGTACCAACAACATTTTTAACAAAAAGTTTACCAAATGTCAAACTACTTTATCTCACAACTAATTTCTCTCATAGCAAATCTAACATCGATAATTTTCACAGTACAACAATGTCAAACTAATCCTAAGAATCAACCAAATCGTCATTTTAAAAATTGAAAAGTTAAATTGGAAAATAAATTTTAAAGCAACCGAAAATGTTAGGAAATGTACATCACTTTTGTATTGTATCAAAATGGAAATTAGTATTTTGACCCCAAAAAAAAATTAAATAAAAAAGGAAATTAGATTACTGAGTTTGGCTTTCTAAGAAGTCAAAATTTGTTTGACTTGTGACATAAAATTAATTGAAATAAAATACTATTTAATGCACCTAGTGCTCGTATCAAAACAATAGGACAATGCTCCTAGCGCAAAATGGTAAATAAGAGTTCTGTTATTTTCACCATGTCCAATGTCCATCTATTTTATCTTTAAAATTTAAATTTTAAAGATAAATTTATTTTTTAGTAAATTGACTTTTAAGGACTCAGGAAAAAAAAACATCAATTCACGTAACCCACCTATTCTACCGTTTGACAAAAAGAAAAGAAAAAAAATAAAGAAGAAGAAAGCGTGCGACTCCTCAATTGCTCTTATGACTTTGGAGTGCTTAGAACTCAATTCTCAAAAAAATTTATTCTCTCTTCTCTTCATTCAATCAAATTGTTTATGAAGAAGAAATAAGAGAATGGATGTTGAAAAGAACAATTCCAGTGAAAAGGTAAGGACATCATAGTTTATTTTTTATTTTTTATTTATCAAAGAAAATTTTCTTGCATTAATAATTAAGGGGTATTTTAGGAAGAATGGTGGGTGGAATGATAGGATTGTATTTTTTCAAATTTACATGGTGAGTGAGAATAAGATATGTGGAAAAATAGAATATCGGGGTCGAAATAGCCACACTCACGAATAATAGTTCTAAAGCCTTTTTAGCAATGGTTTAGAAGATTTGATGAAATTTTTGAAAATTGTAAAATATAATTTGTTCAATCAAACTAATTCGTTTTTTTTTCTAGGTACCTTTTGTTTGACAAACAATTAGAAGACAATAATTTCTCATCAAACATTTGGAACACAAAATTTTCCTTAAAAAATCCTAAAGAACTCTCTCTAAAAAAAATCCTCAGAACTTAGCTCCAGTCGCCACAACCCCACCCCACCCCTCTCCTCCCCTCCCCTACCCTCTCCACCCCTTCCTTTTCTCTCTCCTCCCAACCCTATCCTCTTCTCTTGGGGTTGTTTACGGGTTATTTGGCTGATTTTTCGCTTGGCTGCGCCGGTGATTTCGTTGGTGGCTTTTGTGGTTTTTTTATCCTTGGAATCTTTAGTGACGACTAAGTAGCAGTGTGCTGGTGGTTTCATTGGTGAATTTGGAGACAAAAGAGGTGGCTGAGCGGCCTTTACTCACTTGTGTGTTTATAGTTTCTTGAGTTGTAATAATTGCATAAACTCTTTTATGAGTTGGGTGTTTGTATGTAGTCTAATCTCTACTTGTACTTATTTGTGAGTGTTTAAAAGTTTTAGTTGTATTGATACGGTTCATGTCTGGCTTGTCAGTATTGTGGCTTTTATGCCGAAATTTCTTTGGCCTCATATGGTTTTTAGTGGAGATACACCTTGTGCACTTGATGTTGCGGGTGTGTTTCCATGTATCTAGAACCTTGCATGGTTACTATGCTTTCATCTTTGTATTAACCTAATATATGATACAATAATAGCTTTTCTTAAATTAAAAATAAAAATAAAAAATCAAAAGTGCATTATTTAATAATAAATTTGGCAAAAAATCATTTTTGTCCTAGTAATTTAGCACTAAGGTCACTGTAGTTTCAATTTGATCAAACTTTTCTAACGTTTGACTACCAAATATAATTTTGTGCACTAAAATTGTGCCTCTAAATTTGAGTTGATGAAATGATTCATTATTTGTTTTTCTTTCAAAAAAATTGTAAGATATTGGAGAAAACTAAAAAATAACAATTTATCATCCTAACTAAATAAAAAAGCCGCAGTGCGAAACCAAGCATTTGAAAATGGGAAGAACTGAGGCGGGAGAATCATTGCTGTCAAACAGTCGCGTCATATAAGAAAGAAAGAAGCAGGGTATAGCAAGTGCCTACCTGTGTAGCTCTTATTCTCTGCAACTATGGATCTGGGTCATCTTCTCCACCTCCTAATTCCCTCATGCAACTCTGTAAGTATGCTTCTCTAAACCCATCACCACCTTTTCTTTCATCCCCAATTTTGTTGTAGTTAATCAATTAATTGATCCTTAATATTCAGGTTGTTATACTCGCATTGTTCTTTGCTTACTTGGCCATTGCCGGATCTATACTGCCCGGCAAAGTTGTTCCCGGAGCCACCTTACCAGATGGCTCTCGTCTTCATTATCGCTGCAATGGTTTGCTTCTTTTTAATTGCATTCATACTTGCACACACTATCTGTTTGTTTAATTGCTTGAGTAGCTGTGGTTTAGAGAGTGTGGTGTATTTTTGGCTAAAATCTTTTTTATTTTTTTATTGTCCTTGTAAGGTCTGCTATCACTTCTGTTGCTGATTGGGCTTCTTGGGTTTGGTGCTAAGATGGATTTCGTATCACTTACTGTATGTGGTCATAACTTCATTGTGTTTATTGGATTATTAATTTCCTTGTAGTGATTATATTTGGGTTGATGGTTCTTGAGAGTGCTAATAGCCAGCTTCCAATTTTCATTTACATCTTATATAATATCACATGCAATTGATCATGCTGTGGAAATTGGAGATGATATAATTGTATCTACATTTTGGTTAAAATTTGAATAAGTGTCAACTGTCATACAGAAAAATCACTTTAGTTACCAAAATAGGATTGATGGTTTTCCTTGGAAAGACAAAATTTGAATGCTTTCACTTTTCATATCCAGCGTTTAGCACCAATTTGAAAAAGGCATACTGGAAAGATGAAGGCTGTTCCATATGCATCTGAGTGCATCCTATCTCTAAACTTCCAATCCACCAGCTATATATCATTCTCCTTTTTTTGCCATGAGAGGGGTTATTTCACTTTCCTGAATGTCGGTCCAGCTCCGTGCAACAGAACCAGATTGATACATCATAATATGTAGTTTAGCTGTTCCCCAGGGATACATATCTCTATCTCTCTCTCTCTCCGTCCTAAAGTTGTATAAATAAATTAATGGAGATTATAGTGTTAAAATGTTGCCATCAGTTTATTGTGTTTGTGTGCTCCAAAAATTGAATAATATTAACATCAAAAGAATGTTTTCAGGCAATATCAGACAGAGGATTTGAGCTGTTATCAACAACTTTTCTGTTTAGTGTTCTGGTAAGTCAGTAAGCAATTGACATTTAGTAGTCCATGTTTCAGTTGTAGCATTTGAAATAGACATTGGTGTTGTGGTTGGTGAAGTACATGAACAAACCTTGTGCTGGCATCCTTGTTTAAGATGAAACTCTCTTTTCTTTTCTGTTTTCAACTCAGACTGACAATTTTGTGACTTAAAAGTTGAGTTTCTTGGTGTTTTGGTTTGGTCTCATGTGGAAGAGCCTCCATATGGGCACCTCCACAACCTCACAATAATTTAAACAATTCACTCTGAAATTACCAAAGAAAAGCCAAAACTTCAGTATGAAACTAATATAATGGGGAAAATGATTCAATCATTCTGCCTTGCAAATATATAGGGATACAAAAATACCAGCTTCCAAATAGTTTTTCATAATAATGGATTAACCTTATGAGACCATATATTCCATCTTCTGTCAATGAGTATTGGATCATCGTTATTAAGTTGTCTTCTTTTGTCAAAATTGATATATAATTGTTTCCTTTAATTTCATACAATGTTAGGTCACACTGGTACTTTACGCTGCTGGCTGCAAGTCGAGCAACCGAGGTTCTTCCCTAAAGCCTCATGTGACAGGGAACCTTCTACATGACTGGTAGTTTAAACAACTTGTCTAACTTATTCCGAGCCATCTCCATTTGGTGAAATGGTTTATATTTGTATATGATATAGTGAATAGTTAAATTTTTTTTATATAAATTCAGATGAGCATATATATTGCCCTGCCCACAATTTTCTTTACCTGCCTTATAACATTTGCATTTTCTCAATTAGACAAATGGTAGAAAGAAAAAAAAAGGTAGGAACAGATGTTATAGAGGGATTTTAGGACTGATACTTTTAAACCTTGAGTTACCAACCTATCCTAACTCTGTGCCATCTGCATGTTAAGACAATCGAAAACCTCCCGGGTTTCAAACAGGTTTTGATTCAAAAACATCTTTTTGGAATACTCTTTCAACTGGTGAAAATAATTACCAAATATTAAAGATTGAAAAGTCATTATTTATGTTGTGGTTTAGAAAACGAACATAAATAAGTTAATGTCTTGATGATTTTTGTCTTCACCGATTCATAACATGCAATGATTGACTACTTGTATCCTTTATTGTGTTAAAAATGAAGTTTTCAGATTCTGTATTTGCTTCAATTCCTTGTCGAATGCATCTTACAGTTATATTAATACGGACACTCTTAATTTGTTTAATAGGTGGTTTGGGATACAGCTTAATCCTCAGTTTATGGGCATCGACCTCAAGTATGTAATCCAGTCTTCAATATTTGTGGCATGCTTTCCATATAGCCACTCTAACATACACCAATAGAATTAGTAGTAATTACTTTTAATTTCAGACCTTATTTTATCTTTCTTGTATTATCTTTATATGAAGCTTATAAAGATGATATTCTCTTCTATAGATTTTTCTTTGTTAGAGCTGGAATGATGGGCTGGCTTTTTATCAACCTTTCGGTTCTTGTGAGAAGTATCCAAGATGGCACCTTGAGTCAATCAATGATCCTCTTCCAGTTGTTCTGTGTGGTAATCTGACCTCATTTTATATGTGTATAATATTTGTTTCTCTATGTCTATCAAAATTGTCTATATATAATATATACTCTTTAGTTTACTTCTTGTAAGTGATTGCTGAAAGTTCTTTCCTTTTCCTTTTTTCCAGTTATACATCCTGGACTACTTTTTAATGAGGAGTACATGACCTCCATGTAAGTGCATTACCATGACGTCTAGCTGAATCATTCAACTTAGTTTTATCCCATGTCACTCTTTGCTTTTACATTCTCAAGAATCTTTTCGCACCTGTATATCCTAGGGTTCTCATTCCCTCCCCAGACAGAATCTGCCACACACATTTTTCTGAAATATGCTGAACACACGATTCTGATTTTATCTTTAGTCATTTTATTTATTGCTATAGCCATTTATTTTAGGCCAAAAGTCACTTTTGGTCCCTGTAGTTTGGCACTTCAACTACTTTTGACCTTGTAGTTTCAATTCCGTCAATTTTGACCCTGTAGTTTCATATTTCAAGCAATTCAAGGACAAGTTAGTATTCATGTCAATTTCTTTGACGGTGCAAGGGGCAATTTCGTCAACCCAAAATCCTTGAGCACAAAAGCTCGTCTGAAACCCCCCCTAATTTTATATTAGGGCTTGAAATTGGTCATTTGGGTTTAGGGTTCTTCAAAAATTGGGATTAATGGTTGAATTTCGAGCCGTAATATGAAATGGGGAGAATTTCAGACAAGCCTTTACGCTAAAGGGTTTTGGGTTGACGAAATTGCCCCTTGCATCGTTAAAGAAATTGACAAGAATACTAACATGTCCTTGAATTGCTACAAATACGAAACTACAATGGCAAAATTGACGGAATTGAAACTACAGGGTCAAAAGTGGTTGAAGTGTCAAACTACAAGGACCAAAAGTGACTTTTGGCCTTTATTTTATTTTTTCCTGTGTCTTCTAGTCGTATATCCATTTTCATTTGTGTTTTTGGATATTGAGGAAAGAATTCAATAAGTTTGGTCTGCTATATTTCTTCACGCATTCTCTTCACTGTCTTTGTGATGATTGAATAACATGCCAATTTGGGTTGTTACATTTATCTTTGCATATTTGATTTATTTTTACATGGTTTGCCTTTTACAGATGGGACATAATTGCAGAGAGACTGGGTTTCATGCTTGTATTTGGAGATCTAGTGTGGATTCCTTTCACTTTTAGCATCCAGGCATGTCACCTAAACTACAGCTTAAATAACTCAACTGGTTTTTTTTTCCTACTTTCACCCACCCATACGATCACACTAATAGTTGATTTGGTGTGTTTCCATACACTTCTATTTGAGAACTCAGACTGGCCCGTAGAACTGTAAAAGATAAAACATATTTGTTATAGATTCTGTGAAACAGAAGAGTGATTTAAAGCAACATTGAAACCCTTAGCCATTGTGTTCTTCATTGTTCTAAATTTCTGCCTTGTTATTTCCTTTGTTAAAGGGATGGTGGCTTCTGAGTAACAAGGTGGAGTTAGGAACAGCCGCTGTTGTAGCAAATTGTTTGACTTTTCTGATCGGGTAACCTTTCCATCAACTTGTAGTTGGCATTCGGACCATTATAACCTAATTTCTCTTTGTGTGCTAACATTGAACTTTTAAAATCCATACTGGTCAGGTACACGGTATTCAGAGGAGCCAACAAGCAAAAGCATGTCTTTAAGAAGAATCCTAAAGCACCTATATGGGGTAGGCCTGCAAGGGTCATCGGGGGAAAGTTGCTTGCTTCTGGTTATTGGTAAGATTTACATCAACCACCTTCTATATCATTTTGTTCTTTTCTTCTTCTCATCATTATTGTCGATTAAGCACAACAGGTCAAGTGAAATGGCTTGATCTTTCAATTAAGCACTACTGGTAATTGAATCAATCACCCAACAATGTTTCAAACTATGAGGTGAACCAAGTAACCCATTTAATGGGCTCAGATACAATCTGGTCTGGTAGGAGGAACACCTAACTAGACTGGCGGTTGATGAAATCTAAACTTCACAAAAGGTCCAAGTAATTGAAAAATGAAATAGATGATGTATTGACTATTCATTCACTCACTCTCTCTCTCTGTGGGGAAGCTACATGCATTATATTTCATATTATTTCAAAAAACTAACTATAATCCCGGCCTTTCTGTTGCTTACATTGACAATGCTACTCACAAGCAAAGTAGATTTTCCATCATGCTTCATCACAAACATTTTCTCATACTCTGATTATTTTGGTGAAGGGGAATCGCAAGGCACTGTAATTACCTTGGGGACTTGTTACTTGCACTGTCTTTTAGTTTACCCTGTGGAATAAGGTACTTTCCCTATTCCTTTACAAATGTTGAAATAGTTTTCGTAGAAAAATAGATTTTCCATTTTTAAAAGTTGCTCATTTTGCAGTTCCCTAGTTCCATACTTCTATACAATTTATCTTCTCATTCTGCTCATATGGAGAGAAAGAAGAGATGAAGCTCGTTGTGCAGAGAAGTACAAAGAAATCTGGGCAGAATACCGCAGGCTTGTCCCATGGAGAATATTGCTTTATGCTTATTAAGCTACCAGATTCTGGACTTTTGTAAATGCATCATCAAGTATAGTTGCAGTGGACCTCACGCTTTCTTGTGTTGTACTATAAAATGCACTTTATTCCCGACTGTTGAGTTATTTCAGGAAAAAAAAAAATTGTGTATCTTTTGACAAAATGCCTGCACATTTAATTTCTAAATATTATGGTTCTTGTTATATAGCTCATGGTTCTTGTGATAGGTAAGGTGAGATACTATACTCACAATAAGCTCATATTCCATGTGGTGGAACTTTGATCTAAACACGTGGACGGCTACTATTCAAGGCTGGTTCATTGATTTTGGAGACCCTAAGCAGAAATAAAAGGTGAGGCCTTTTATGTTCAACATTTAGCTCCTTTTGTAAAAGATTGCATGTATAAGTGCTAAGTTGGTTAGTTTAAATAAAAGAAGCCCATTATATGAAGAAAAAAAAAGGAAAGGCTTAAAAAGTTTCAAGATAAAGCCCAAAAAGCATCAATCATACACCTAATACATTTTATAAGAGGCCCCATTTTTCTAGAAGGCTTGTGCGGTTGTCCAGCTCCTAACACCTTATGGTTTTAACATGTAGAATGTGGTTTTAACATGTAGAAGTCTGCGCTTCTCACCCAAAACCAATTAGTAATAAGCGAAGTAGTACTATTGAATGATGTGGAGCACATGCATTCCAACAATAGAGCTTTAAGACTGAAATTCTATTGTCTCCAACAATTTTCCCTCTTCGGCTTACATTATTTAATATATCCTCGTAGCATCTTTGGCATGTTTCCTTGTTTAACTTCTTGAGTGTTTTGGTTCTTATTGTTTGTATTGGCACCAACTTTCTTATGATTTCGAAGATAGATAGACCTAAATGAATGTTTTGGTTCTTATTATTTGTATTTTCATGGATTTTCCTATGATTTCATAGATGGTTTTTATTATTTGTACTAGCAAGAACTGTCTTATGATTTTGAAGATAGACGAAACTGAATGAGCATTTTGGTTTTTATTATTTGTATTTGCATAGACTTTCTTATGATTTTGGAGAATAAACGGATCCAAACAAAGTGAACTTTCTTATGATTTCAGAGATAGACGGACCCAAACGGAGTTGATTTCAGAGATAGACGGACCCACCCATCGCACCCCAAAATCAGCAAACGTTCAATAAAGTTTTCTAGCGGTCACACGCACTATGCAATAGCACCAAAATAACGAGGTCGAGGCACAGATACACACAGAGTACACTCATTTTAAGAAAGACAGACGTGAAAGCATCTTTTACACAAGTGCTATTGAGCATCAAATTCAATACAATTTTTTTATAATTTGTTTTGGTTTTTACGCTGATAATTTATGTAATAATATAGTTCTTCACCGACAGAGGTACATGTGGACTTGTCTAGCCTGCTTGGTTGGTGGTACAGTACAAAACTCACTGATGTTTGAGTCAGACAGATGATAGAGAGGCAGGCAGCTAAACGCAATTGTGACAAATTGAAGAGTGAGACAGGTGCACCAAATTAGGCTGCTGCAAGACGGCGTGCACAAGTGGTGTACCAATCCCCTACGTGGTGCACCAATTCCCCACTCACATATTGCCACATTTTCACACACAAAAAACTTTACCTCTAAATCTTTAGGAAGATGGAAAGGAGACACATTAGAAATCATTTGTTTTCTTGGGAACCTTAAAATACATCACAATACGAACAATAGATAATAAATGATAAAGAAGAGATAAAACAAAACCGAGGGCATCATATTATATCTTTAAACTCACAACAATCATCTTAGAAATCAAATGAATTTATAATAAAAGTTTACCTATCTGGGGTTGCTCTCTCGTTAGCGAGGAGAGACAAGATAGGGTCAAGGTTTCATTGTGCACAGTCATTCTCTCACAAGACCTCGTCCTTTTCCTCAGTCGTCCTCTTTAGCGTTGCGCCTCCTCTCTGCTTGTTAGTGTCGTCGTTCTTGCCCTTTTGTTGTTGGCTCTCTCGACAACAGTGCCCTTTTGTTGTTCGCACCCTCGCCTTTGCAACCACCTCTTTGCACCCATATCATTCCTCGGCGTTGTTAATGTCGCCGGTTCCATCCCTTTCTTTCTCTACATATTGGGTGGTGGATTCTAAGGTTTTTGGTCTATTCCTTCTCGGAGTTTGCGCCGCTGCATGTCTTCTCCAACTATTATCCCCAATGACATTATCGATGAGATCAAACGCTCGTTTGGCAGTCGACTAGTCCTTACTCCACACAAACGCGCTAGTGTGGTAATTGGGTCCTCTGATGTCGCTGATCTCTTTGTTGGTTTCATCCACAGTTGTGCTATTATGCCTATGGAGATTGGTCAAATGGGGTTTCATGGAAGCCTCCCTTAGGTTTTTTTTGCAAAGCGTTTGTCAGCTTGGCAACCTGCGAATGCATTGAGGCTTGATTTCTGTTTCAAGTTAAGTGGCCTAAGCCAGTTTGTCTTCTTGCTGCATGGTCTTCCTCTGTGTCCTTCTTTCCTAGTATCGATGCAACTTTGACTGCCTTATGGACTATGATTATCATAGGAAGGTTTGCTTTGATAGTTTGAAGAAGATTGGGTGTGTTTTCTGGGGCTTTTCCTTCCTTTGGCTTATTGGTGTTATTGAGTCTTTTCTTTGTTGGGGTTGTCTTGTAAGCGGTTCAGCGTGACCTAATTTGGACTCTCTTGTTAGTCCTTGGCATGCGTGGTACTCTTTCCTCATATGGATTTTCCTAGGAAGGTTTTAATGAGGCCACTGTTTCATGTCATAATGTATGTTCTTGTTATTGTGAATGAACTTTTTTCTATTAAAAAAAAAAAAAAAAAAAAAAAAAAAAAAAAAAAAACAATCATCATTTTAGAAATCATTTTCTTCAAAAATCTTAACCACGTCACACCAAATTAAAAAGACAATCACATAATTTCTTAACTCCAATGAAAAAAAAAAACAATAAGTTTATTTCTTAGTGTATTCTTATAACTAAACAATCCAATTCTTAGATAATTTCAGTCAAACAATATGGGGTAGAATATTTTCATTCTCCAAAAGGAGGTATTTATAATACAATTGTGTAAACCCTAGTAGGGTAATACAAGGAAACAAATAAACTCCTAATTACACAAGATTTGTACAAAAGAGAAAGAAATAAAATCATAATAGAATAGGAAATAAATATCCAAATAGAATTAGGATCTCACCAACACTCCCCCTCAAGTTGGAGCAAAGATGTCATGCATCTGTATACCCTTCCACAACTTTCGTAAGAGCATATGCTAGTTGATACTCGGATGATATATACGGAAAAGAAATAATCTCAGCATCCAACTTCTCTTTAATAAAATGCCGACCAACCTCCACATGCTTTGTACAATCATGCTGCACAGGATTATGAGCAATCGCAATTGCAGCTTTATTATCACAATACAAATCCATGGATTTTTAGTGTTCAAACCCAAGATCTCCCAACAATCTCCTTAACTATAGTAACTCACACTCACCTTGAGCCATCCCACGATACTAGACTTCGGCACTAGACCGAGACACCACTTTTGCTTTTAACTATTCTAAGTAACAAGATTACTACCAACAAATGTGAAATACCCTCAGGTAGAACTTTTATCAGTGATTGAACCAGCCCAATCTACATCTGTATACCCTTCCACATATGTATGACCATACTTGGAAAACATTAACCCCTTGCCAGGAGTTAATTTCACATACCTTAGAATACATATCATAACACCCACATGATCTTCACTAGGAAAATGCATAAATTGACTCACTACACTCACTGCATATGTAAGAACATGACATGTATGAGCTAAATAAATCAATTTCCCCACAAGTCGTTGATAACGCTCTTTATCAGTAGGGACTTGATCAGGATATAATCCCAACTTATGATTTTGTTCACTAGGGGTATTAATTGGTTTACAATCCAACATTACAGTCTCTGCAAGTAAATCCAAAACATACTTCTTTTGGGGCAAAAATATACCATGCTTAGATCTAGCAACTTTAATCCTAAGAAAGTAATTTAAGTCACCTAATGACTTCATCTCCAACTCAGAAGCCAGATACTTATGAAGATTTTGCATTTCTGCTTGATCATCTTCAGTTACAATCATATCATCAACATAAATAATTAAAGCTGTCAATTTACCTTTATGATGCTTTAGAAATAAAGTATAGTCCGAATTACTCTGTAAATACCCAAATTTCTTCATATATGCAGCAAACCTCCCAAACCATGCTTTTGGAGAATGCTTTAATCTATATAAGGATTTTCGTAATTTACACACAACACCCTCCTTGGAGGTCACAGGAATACCAGAAGGAAGATCCATGTATATTTCTTCCTTGAGGTCATCATGTAGGAATGCATTTCTGACATCAAACTACAACAAGGGTAAGTTACAATTAGCAGCCAGGGATAAGAGTATACGCACATCATTGAGCTTTGCTAATGGAGCAAAGGTCTCTAAGTAATCCACTTCATATGTCTGAGTATAACCCTTTGTTACCAATCTAGCCTTGTAACAGTCAATGGAACCATCTGGCTTATGCTTCAAAGTAAATACTCATCTGCACCCAACAGCTTTCTTCACTTTTGGTAAAGGGATTAAATCCCAAGTTTCATTTTTGTTCAAAGCTTCCATTTCAACATTCATGGTATCCACCCATTTGGGGTCAGAAAGAGCATCCTGCATCTTAGTTGACACATATACACTAGATAATTAACAAATATGATGCATATGACTTAGATAAACGATGAGTTGACACATAATGGCTAATAAGATATTTAGACTTGGCATGTATATTAGGAGAATATTGTACTTTAGGTTTCCCATGAGTGGTTTGTGGGGGGAACTGATAAGTTGACACAGATAGATTATCAGAAATTGCTTCACTTGATTTACTATCACGAGTAAATTGGGGCATTGTCTGGGTAGAAAGGGGTATTGCATTGAACTTAGTTGCGTACGGGTCACAAGGGTCATTGTCATAATTTTCAGGCATAGTCGACTGGTTGCATCCTAGCTGTTGACCGGTCGTTTCTTCACATAGAGCGATTTCGTCATCGCCAGACTCAGTCGATCAGTTAAGTTCCAAATGTCAGCCGGTCATTTCTTCACAAAGAAAACCATCTTCAGCTCTAGGATATGGCGACCAGTGGCTTTCTCCAGTGCGACTGGTCGTTTTCTTCCTGATAATAACATCTTCAAATACAACATTTTGTAGTTCAAGTCCAAGATTCTCCAATCCAAGACTCTCCAATTCACTCATCTTTTCCCCCTAAATTTGAAAAGAGGGAGAGACATAATATGACACTTCTTCAAGGAAAGTCACGTCTAAAGTAACATACACCTTCTGGGTAGGTGTATGCACTTATAACTCTTTTGAGTAGAAGAGTAACCAGTAAAGACATAGCGCAGAGCACAAAGATCAAGTTTACTTCATTGATGAGAGTAGACATGAACATAGGTAACACACCAAAAAACTTTATAGGGCAACTTGGAGATGGAGATAGGGGAAACATGGTCACCAACCACATCATGCAAAGTCTTGAAATCAAGAACCCGGCTAAGAGTATGATTAATCAAATATGCAGTAGACAGAATAGCATGCCCCCAAAGATGATGGGGAACAGACATATCCAATATGAGTGAGCGGGTAACTTTAAGCAATTGACAGTTTTTCCTTTCAGACACCATTTTGTTGAGGGGAAAAAAGAGTTGTCATTTGCTGAATAATACCTTGAGCACGAAAGAAATACACCAAAGTATTATTCACATATTCTCCTCAGTTATCAGTCCAGAATACTTTGATCCGAGCCTAAAACTAAGTATACACCATAGTAAAAAACTCTAGAAGGATGGAAGCAACATTATGTTTATTTTTCAGCAAGAAAAAGTGAGTTTGGTACAATCATCAATAAATGTGACAAACCAAATAAATCTATTTGAAGTAACGCAAGCCGGACCCCACATATTAGAATGCACTAAATCAAAAAGCTCTGCAGCTTTACTGTCACTCAAAGGACACATAGTACGATGACTCTTGGCCAAAATGCATGTCTCACACTTAAAATTGGACTCATCACAAGTGCGGAATAAAGATGGAAAGAAACGCTTAAGGTAGCCAAACAATAGGTGTCCTAAGTGACGATGCCATAACCAAATTTGTTGTTTGTCTTTGACACTGCAACTTTGAACAGTATTGACGACACGATCACGAACTGGTGTAGCAGGCAATATAAAATAATATAACCCCTCTTCCGTTTACCATGTCAATCGTCTCGTGAGTCTTGAGATCCTAAAAGAACAATGTATAAGATAGAAAGTAGTAGGAACATTAAGTGTATTAAGTAATCGACCAACAGATAACAAGTTGCAATGGATAGTGGGAACTAGTAATGCATGAGACAAGGACAGAGTATGAGTGAGAGAGATTGTGCCATCGCTAGTAATTGGAGAGGGCAAGCCATTAGCACTAGTTATGTATGGGTCATGGGTGTTACTAGACAATTCATCAAAAAAATTAGCATCATAAGTCATATGATCAGAAGCACCCGTGTCAATTATTCAAGTATGTGAGTCAATATTTGGAATTGAGTCAGAAGCACACTAATTTGCAGAAGCAGTAGCGATAACACCAACAATAGAGTCCTCATCCATGATTGTAGTAGAAACTCAATTGATCACGTTAGAGTACACAACGGAACACTGCAGAGGCACAAATACGGCAGATGCATGAAGACAAGAACGACACGAACACAGTAGAGACATGAACATTACAAACACAGTACCCAAACCCAAGAGGGCGCACAAAAACAACAAAAAAAAAAAAAAAAAAAAAAAAAGGCTAGAACACTGGTGGGCATAACACACAGGTCACCAGAAAGTCAACTTTGATGCCAAGTCAAACAATATGGGGTAGAATATTTTTTGATAAATTTTCATTCTCCAAAAGGAGGTATTTATAATACGAGTGTGTAAACCCTAGTATGGTTATACAAGAAAACAAATAAACTCCTAATTACACAAAATTGTACAAAAAAGAAAGAAATTAGAGAAAATTCGTTTTTAGCCAAAGAAAATTTTAGCTTTTTTAAAAGACCACAAACAAAATTAAAAAGACACAAAAACTTTTCATCTTTAGAACTAAAGACATGCAGGTCCCCTCAACTAAAAAGCCAAAAGACAGCATGTGAAGGAATCTCTACTAGCACAAAAGCCACTCTACCATCAGCTAAGCCATGCAAAGAAGTGCCATCAAACAAGCCATGCAACCAAGTGCCTTGTCCGTTTATTGTACATGTGAAACCTTTTGTGTGTTTTCATAAAGCCATGTGAAGTCATGTGAAGTGTAAAGTTGTATAGGAGAAAGTGTGTGCAGAGAAGAAAGATATCTCTTCAGCAGAAAGAATAGAGTCGGTAGAAGAAAGATATCTCTTCTCATCCCTAGCCTTTCTCAAGAATGGAGTCGGTGAACTAATGTATATAGCTTGCAGATCCGAAGAAGAGAAGAATAGTCGCCAAACTATTTGGCTCCATATGACTAGCAAGAAGCAACATTTATTTTGGTTCCATATGGCTAGCAAAAGCAAAAGGATTCCTGAGGCAATCCAAAACTACATAAGGGCATTCTTGTCCAAATATAAATATTTTGGCTTATGTTAAACTATTTCCTTGATCTTTGGCCTTTTCCAAAATCTCCCAAGAAATAAAATCTTGATATAACGGGAAATAAATCTCCTAATAGAATTAAGATCTAGCCAACAATTTCATCATAAAATAATTGTGAGATTATTTTTTTTTGTCAAAATCCAGTCATTAGATATTAGATTATAGGGCCGCATGATAGTGACTGAAATATATATATATATATATATATTTGATATAAGGGAACCGTTATTAACATTCCAAAAAGTCATTTTGCATGTTTCTCTTGTAAAAGTTGCATATGAGACTCATGATGACGTGATTATTAGGAATTTTAAATGATTGATTTTTAACTTTTAATATATATGAGACTCATAATGCATGGGTTAATGAAAGTTGGATTGTACGTAAAGAGAAATTGCACGTAGAGAAATTCATAATGACGCTTTATAATCATTAGTTGTTTATGTCCATATTAAGATAAAACAAATTTATGGTACTAGCTAAGAATAATAGGATAAGTCCTGCTCATGACTTGAAATAGTATGACTGGTAGAACAAAAAAAAAAATGAAAAAAAGATTTGGATTATTGTACACTTCTCTTTTTGCCAAAGTTAGGAAGAGGGAAGAAATTTTCACTCAGGGACTACCAAAGTGCCATGAGAATTGTACACATTAAAAGAATTCCACAATACATATTATGCAAAGACTAGTATAGAATAGTCAATGCAAATTATGCAATTGCATATTATTAATCACGAGTTGAAAAGAAAACCCTTGAGCGAAAGAAAACTCTAGCAAAAGCATCCTCAGCCGCCACCCACTTTTGGGGGTGGGTGGCTTCCCTCCCTTCCCTCTCTCTCTCAGCCCTTCCCCTCTCTCTACTCCCCCCATTCTCTTGCTTCCCCCTTTGGTTGCTTTTTTTTTGTGTGTGGCCATTTTGTCTAGTTTGTTGGATGTACTTGGTTATTTTGTTTGATTGGTTAGATCTACTTTAGATCCTTGTGTGGTTGTATTTGGAGTAATTCTTTGTGGTTACTGTACTTCAATATTTGTAGTAATCCTTTATGATTATGTGTATTTGTATAAGCTCTTGTGGCTAACCTTCTTTGTGCCTATATTATGAATGCAACTCATTGCCTTTATCTCAAAAAAGGGAAGAAAAAAAAACAAAAAAAAGGTATAGAATAGTATTAGGGGTAATAACCAAGTTATATTATGTCGCATTATTTTTGTATTCGCATTTAATCATTAGCGTTGACGCGAATGTTCTAATCATTCGCGTTAACCGCGAAACGCGAACGTTAAGAACGTTCTAATAATCATTATGGACCATCATGTCAGAACAACCGCAGTGTGAATCTCACACCACCAGCCACCAAAAGAAGAATCTAATACGAAGTTGCAGATATTATTTTCTTTTGGCCATGAGTTGTGGATAATTACTTCTTGGGGGACCTTGAGATATTGTAGCTCGATTTCTGCATCCTCCTCCAACAGGTAGAGTTTAACTTCACTTCCAATCCTTCGAAATTCCCATTAAATTAATTTACCAAAGAGTTTGACTTTATTTTCAACCGGTTCGAATTCACAAGAACATAGAAAATTTACCAATCCCAAGATTAAGGCTTGCAACCAAGATGGTATCCTCAGAACTGACAAGCTGAAAAGGCACTTTGCGAGAATGTTGTTTTCACTCGTGTCTTTTATTGAACCACTTCCCGAGAGTTCAGGATTTCTTGTAGGTTCCATCTGTAAATATGTTTTTTTTGTTGTTGATAATTTCTAAATTTTTTGTTTAGTTTAAATGTAGGACCTTAATCACTTCCCTTTTTTTATGTTGCGAATATATTTGTGTATCAACTAGTTATTCTTCAATCGTAGTTTATCTTTCTCTCCACCGATATTGTTTTTTATTTATTTATTTATTATTTTTTAACTTTTTTTCTCAAACATTAAAAAAAAAAAAAAAAAAAAAAAAAAAAAAAAAATCCTTCCTCAATCAAACTTTTTAGTTGTAGAAACGTTAAAACACGGTATACAATTACCTACAAGTCCCATAACGGAAAATTAGTGATGTAACTATTTTAGGTTCCTTATTATAATTCATGAAGTATTATAATTCCTTATTTAGTATTGTCCAATCTAAAAATAATTTTTTACAAAAAATTGTTGAGAAAAATCAAAGTGAAAACAAAACAATGGGAATTTTGTTTTTGTTTTGTTTTGGTAAAGCTAGGGGGCTCAGTAAAAGTGAAAAGGAAAAAAAAACACTGTTTTGACAATTAAAAAAGAGAGGACACATGTCACTTTTTGGTTGAGCCACAATAGAAGGTAAGGAGGGAAGTATTATCCTTTCTTTTACAGATAAAAAATTAAAAAGGGCGAAACCAAAAACTAGTGGTGGGTGGAGTTGACGAGTCTCTTTCCAGCGGGCTGGTGAGGAACCCAGATTCCCTGTCTAACGCAATGATGTGGGTGGGATGGCGCGGGTCCTCTGCCCCATTTTAATCTCTAGTTTCATGAATCATGTTTTCTTTGTAATGTAAGTATTTGACCTCTCTTGAGGTTTTTCTTTTTCTTTCAATACTTGTTTAGGTTTCTGCTCAATTAGGGTAGAGGACCTCGCAGTCAAAGGAGAGGGACACGCGATACCCCAAGAAAGGACCAGAGCCCCCCAAGACCTCAAAGTTGGACTCCAGGAGGTCATATGTGAAGCTCACACAAAAAATTCCTTGTTGATTGACCTATAGCCTTGCCCAGCGCGAAAAAGAATTTCCTATGTTTCTCAATTTCTTGGTACTTCTCTTCCTTTAACTATGCTCTTTTGCGACTGATAGCTTAGATGTGCAAAGAGCATATGAAGGTATAAACACTTAACATACATGCAAATCAGTTTTCTTTCCTTTTTAAAATTTAACAATAAATTCATATTTAACATACCTAATCGGTTTATTCAATAAAAATATATTTATTTATTTATAAAGTATACGTGATTAATTATGTATTATATTATTGTTTTATAAATATAATGGTGTACCTAGTATGAATTTACTTATTATTCAAATAATATACCCAACTTTTATAAACGCATTTTGGATACAATTTACCTAATAATGTCCTATTATGCAATAATATAACTTGTAATTTACCTATTATGGGTATATTGTAGGGGAAAATACTTCCCTTCTTAACATGTAAAAGTAGGAGCTCCTACATTCTTGTCAATAGCAATGTGACATGTGTGCATAAGTTTTTATTTTTGTGTTTTTGATTAATTATTTTGCATATGAGTCAAATTGTGATTCACAGGAAGGAGGAGTATCTTCTTACAGGTAAGGAGGCAAGCAGTATCTAATTGTAGGTATGTTAAAGCCAACACATTTATAGGTATATTTACCTACCGTATTGTATATATACACAATATATAGGTAAATTTGTAGGTACATTATATTGTATTGATACTAATTTACCTTTATATTTTATTATAACAAAATTTGAGGGATTTTTAATTGGTCAGAAATTTAAGGATTTTTTTTATTGGTCGAAATTTAAGGTATTAGATGGAATGCCCAAAAAACAAAAAACGGGAGTCATTGATATGCTATAAATGAGGAAGTATTAATTAGAAATAGGGGACTTCATGACATGCTTGAAAATCGTCATGTTGACTTATCTGAACTCTGGTGGCCAACGAATATGACCTTTTATATCTTACATGTCATTTTAGTTTGAATTTGAGTTTTATACATAGATTTTAAAATTAATGAGTTGATGTCTAGGAAATAGAAATTGTAGGGGCCTATATTAGACTAACCCTAAAATTTCATGATTGCATAGATGAGGTAGATAATTCATTGCAAAAGTTAGCAAGAGAGAGAGCAAAGGACATATATTTCACACTTTTTGTCTTGATGACCATTTTCTGCAACCCAAGAAATATAGGATTTAAATCTATGACTTAGTTTCTCATATCCAAAAATTGATTGTAGTTTGTAGACATGAGCTTAGTCAAGTTGGCTAGAGCACCTGAGTTTGAATCATTCTTCCTGTAGTTTAGATTAAATTAAGGTAGAATATCACTTGTATTTAAAGGAAAAAAAAACTTGTTTAAGACATGCAATATGTATTTTTCTCAAGATAAAAAATAGGAGTGACTGTAAACAACTTTTTAATAAGATCCTTTAGATTAATTCCACGGCAAATACACTATTAGCTTACCTCGCTCATACCTATTTTTCACTCACAAATATAATTGGGTTCAGAATAATCTATTTGTATTCTTTATATAAATTTAATTTTATAGTTATTTATTTTATTTTATTTTGTAAAATTTTTATGGCATGATATGAGACACAGTGCAAATTGATTTCTTGTGAGTCAGAAATCTCTGATAATAAATTTGTTTCATTTATTTATTTTATAAAATGATAATAAAACTTTCATGATTTGATATCGAAGCGTTTACACTGTTCAAGATTCAGTTGGAGGTCAGCGTAAAAAAGAATAGTGTAAACGCTTCGATGATGCCCGGGATGATTTTATAGAATCAATAAAATAAAATTTTACAAAATTGTAACCGATATGATTTTATAGAATCAATAAAATAAAATTTGCTAGAAATAAAATTTTCTTGACCAAAAAGAAACAAGAAGACTTGGAAATTCTGATACGTCTATATAGTAGCTTTAATTTAACAAATTGGAGTATTAGATGGAGAGCTTTCTTTCTACAAGGTCTTGTTCTCTTAGCTAGGTGCCCCTAAACCTAGCAAAGGCCATGGATAGATGTGGATATGGAGATCAATACGGTTGGTGAAAACTCTTTCTCATCAAGTGATGATGCCCGGGATGATCATACTTGTGGTTTTAAATGCAACATATGCCTTGAATTAGCTGATCAGGACCCAATTGTAACACCTTGCGCGGCCACCTTTACTGCTGGCCCTGTCTATATAGATGGCTTCGTGTTTGCTCATCACAGTCAAATAAGCTCCAGTGCCCTGCTTGTACGACTGTCATTAAGGAGAAGAAGCTGATCCCTATCTATGGAATAGAATCAGATCGAAGATCTCCTTCTGTACCGCCCGGTCTTAAAATTCCAAATAGGCCATCTCCATCTTCTTCATCTTCAAATAGACGATCGTTTCGTCAAATCAGAAACGCCGTTGCTTCAGCTTTCAGTGCTCCATTTTCTTCATCTTCAATTGGACGAGCAGTTCGTCAAACCCTAAATGCCATTGGTTCAGCTCTCATTGCAAGCCATTTTTCGAAGGTGTTCGAATTCATGCCAATGGTGCTAGGTGGAATCGGAGTTGTTGTTCTCGTTGGGGGGATACATTTGGTATATTTGGGAACTGTGTGATCGTACCAGTCAAGTGTTGGATTCCGCCAAACAACTGTTGGATTCTGCCCAACAACTGTGTGATAGTACCAAAAAAGTGTTGGATGCTGCCCGACAAGTGTGTGATTCTGTGGAAAGAATATGTGAGGCTGTGAAACCTTTGTGTGATTGTATTGAAGCAACACATAATGGTTGGAAAAAAGTAAAAGCAATGTGTTCATTAGGGTTACGTGTTGTCTATTGTCTGATTTGAACGAAGTCTTAATCTCAATTGTTATCAGTTAGGTGTTCTCCATAATTGATGTTCTTCTTGTTTTCCAACTTCCCTGCAACCAAACAAAAGATGGGTAGTTTGCAATACGTACGCCCATTAACGCCGGCAGAAATGAATAAAACAGAAAATAAGATAAAAGTTCCAAGTTGTAAAATATTTAGGCTAAATTTTAGCGTCTCTGTAGTTTACTCGAATTTTCACTTTTTTACTTTTTTCAAAATTTTATTTTATTTTTAAGATTCTGAATCTATAAGGAAACCATCCAGTCCCTCCTGTTTATTAAGTGATGATGATTGGGATTTTGATTGCAATATTTGCTTTCATTTACCTACATATATACCCCATTAATTAACACCTCGTCACTACAAAGAAAAAAAAGAACAGGCAGCAGTCACCATTATTTGATGACATTTGCTGGGTGACTGAAGACTTTAGTCACCAAATAATGGTGACTGTTGCCACTTTTTTTTTATAGCGTGTGGCCACCTTTACTGCCCACTTTGTATAAACATATTGCTAAAGAGCGGCTCAAATTGCAAGGCCAAGGTTAGAGTCAAATTGTTGACAATCCCTCTTAGTGGGTCATCTGTAAAAACCAAAAAAGGGGCTTAGACTCCCCTCTGTAAGTCTTCAAAGAGACATTGGTATGCTCTGGCCCTGGAATGGGGTAGTCTCCCCTCCCCTTAAACTGTCTTTCATCAAAAAAGAAAAAAAAAATCTCTGATAATAAAACCTTTTTATTTATTTGTTTATTTATTTATATAATGAACTGAAAAAAAAACTTTCATGATTTGATAATCGAGGCCTTTAGACAATTCTTTTTTACGCCGACCTCATAGTGAATCTTCAGCAAGCGGAAAGAATCAGAAAATTAATGTTGGGTTTCCTGATTTTATTAGTGGATATGATTATATAGAATCAAGAAACATTTCTTGACCAAAAGAAACAAGAAGACTAGGAAATTCTGATACGTGTATATAGTATCTTAACTCTAACAAACTGGTGTATTGGATGGGGAGCTTTCTTTCTACAAGTCTTGTTATCTTGGCTAGCTGCCCCTAAACCTAGCAAAGGTATTGAATGCGCTGGTTGATATTTTTAGGGTTGCAAATAATATTTTCTAGGCAAGCAAACAGAGGTGAATATAAGTATTGAGTGCAGATTTCTTTTACCCTTCGTTTCGAGGATTAATTTTGAAGTTGTAACCGTACATATTGTCCCATGAGAAATCCTTATTAATTTGGTTTTGGATTCTTCTTTTGAATATTCTTGTTCTAAAATCGGGTTCAGTCAATGTAAATTGATTACCTTTACTGCTGGCCCTGTCTATATAGATGGCTTCGTGTTTGCTTATCCCAATCAAATAAGCCCCGCTGCCCGGCTTGTACGGCTGTCATTAAGGAGAAGAAGATGATCTCTATCTATGGAATAGAATCAGATCGAAGATGTCCTTCTGTACGGCGCGGTATTAAATTTCCAAATAGGCCATCTCCATTTTCTTCATCTTTAATTGGACGAGCAGTTTGTCAAACCCTAAACGCCATAGCTTCAGCTTTCAATGCTCCATTTTCTTCATCTTCAATTGGACGAGAATTTCCTCAAACCCTAGAAGCCGTTGCTTCAGTTCTTAATGTTTGCATTAACTAAGGGCATTTTCTGGTATTTGAATCTTTTACCATTCTCTGCCTTTTGTTTATATATACTAGCCTCTCAGCACGCGTTTCCGTGCTAGTGAGAGGCCTTTTTAAAAAAAATTTAAATTGATTTTAGATTTAAAAAGATAATGGGTAGTTGTGTTCCATAAAAATTGGATCAATTATCTGATTTTTCTTTTAATTTTTATTTTTTTAATATGAAAAAGTGTGAATTTACCATATTATCCTCATCTAATTAATAATTTCAATTCTTAATGTTTGTATTAACCAATGACATTTTCTGGTATTTTGAATGTTTTACCATTTTCTGCCTTTTGCTTTAATATATAGATAAATTTTCTAGACCTATTGCTTGTAAGGACGCTTATTTTTGGAGTTGTGTTATTCATGTCTTTGTATCTTGTATATTGTCTTTGACAGTAATGGGCAACCTATTCCAATTTTGAAATAATATATCATTATCAAGCAGTGTTTTAGAGTGCTAAAGGTCCACCTTTTTTTTTCTTTTTCTTTTTTCGACAGGCCCCATTCTCGGGTCATGGCATACCAAGGCCTCTTTGAAGACTTAAAGCACTTCCACCAATTTGTCATGACAAAGGGTAAGGGCTGTTACTACGTGAATAGTGGCAGCCCTTGTAAAAGACTTGTGGTGTTTCCATCCATTGTCATGGCAACCCAATGACAACCACATTCACATGAGATATGATGAGAGGAATTTGTATAGAGTTTTGGTGTAGGAAGTGAAGAATATAACTAAGTATTTTTAAAAAAAAAATTCTAAAATTTTTTAGTTACTTTTTTAAATTTTGTTGACTTCAGCAAACCCAGGCTATTCTTGCCTTTGGGCTTGCCTGGTTTGGTAGGACCCATGTGTTGCCAGGGCTGTAGAAGCCCATTGGAACTATAAATTGGGGCTTGGGCCCCCTGTTGCTTGGGCTAGGGGGCACTATTGGAAGGGCCCTTACAGAGGGGATCGTCGCCCCTTTTTAGGTTTTTACAAATTACTCACTAAAAGGGATTATCGGCAGCGAAACTCGAACCTAGGCTTTGATAGCAAAGAGAACGATCCTTACCAACTTAACCAATCCTCATTGGCTAAAGGTCCACTTTTTTGAATTAAAACAAATAACTTCTTTTTCAATATCTATTTGAAAATTATATTGACAACATGAGCGACACTAGAATTTGAAGCAGGGAGGGCCGTAATATAAAACAAAGGCAAAACTTCACTTTTAGTCTTTGTAGTTTGCCGGTTTTATCACTTTCGTCCATGTAGTTTCAATTTTGTCAATTTTATCCTCGTAGTTCCATTCGGAGCAATTAAAGGACACGTTTCAATTTCTGTCAAATTCCTCCAAAATCTGTTGAGTATTTCAGTCCACTCGACCCATCTAGCGGTAAAACAAAAGTCAAAGCTCTTCTCATCCACTTTAAGAGTGATATTTGGGCTTAAGGTTTTTGGGGGAAAAAAAAATGTATCTTTGAGTTAAAATTTGAGTGATTTTGGATGAGTTTAGCTTGAGTAGACCAAAATACCCCTCTATGTGAGTGGCACGTGGTCAAAACTTAACGTAATTGAGATAAATTTGACAGATTTGAAGTGTGTCCTTGAATTATTCATTATTGAAAACTATAAGGATAAAATTTACAAAATTGAAAACTAGAAGGATAATTGACAAAATTGAAATTGGATGAGGAAAGTGGTAAAGCCAAGTTGAGGTTGTTGTTGCACCAATTCAGCAATGATGGCTCATGACAGTAATTTTACCTTTTTTTTCTTTTAATATATAACTGCATATATTAAAAGTGTGCATGAAAACAAGGTTGGTTTAAACTTTTTATCTCTATGTGCACCATATTTATTGGGTTCTCTTCCTTATCCCATTTCTTATATGCTTTGTTGCTATGAAAATGCATGGTGAAGCCTAATAAAGAGATGCCCTTTCAATCCTTGCTAAAGCCCTTCTTTAACTAGCCTATTTAATTTATATTGTGAACCCATAAACATTTCTTGACTTGTTAGTTTTGGTTGGACAACTAAGATTGAACAAGGCTGAGCTTGATCATGGGAGTAAATCTCATGTTAGTGCACTTGGATGTGGATCCCTGCTTTCTGATATTTTGATCTTAAATTATGTAGCTGCTTGAGGGAATGAATTGGTTACAGTAAGAATTCTTTGTGGAAGACAAATGAAATGCAAATGTGGTAGCTGTGAGACTTCAATACAATACCTACAGTAGACTTGATTTTTATTCTTAGTTGACTTGACCCTTGTTTTCATCGCCATCACCATGATCAACTTTCTTGCTCTTGAGCATGGCGTTGGCTTGTCTCCACTTATGGTATTTACCAAACAAGACCTCCATTTCTTCGAGGGTTCTGCCCTGTGTTTCCGGAAGCATTGTATAGAAGAAGATCCAAGCCAACACTCCAATTCCCGCGTAAAGAAAGAAGGCCCCGCCAATCGTGATGGCTTTGTACAAGGAAAGAAAAGTCATGGAGATGATGCCACTTATCACCCTGTTAACGGCCACTCCCAAACTCACTCCTTGCGCTCGCAGCTTTAGCGGGAAGATCTCAGAGCTATAGACCCATGTGATGGGCCCCAGTCCGATAGAGAAAAATGCAACGTTGAATAGCACCATGGTGATGCACAATGCGACGGCCCACGGGATTGTGCCGTCGTGATGATCGACGATCGTAAGCGCCGCACCGAGACACGCAAGGGAAAGTATCATTCCACCCATGCTGGTCAAAAGCAATGGGCGTCGTCCAACCCGATCAAGGAGAAATGTGGCGATGAAGATGAAAATGGTCTTGATGAATCCAACGGCCACGGTTGCCAGTAGCGTGTGCTCGTAAGAGGTGATCCCGGCCTTCGCAAAGATCCTTGGGCTGTACAAAACGACAGAGTCTATGCCCGTGACTTGTTGAAAGAAATGGATACCAAGGGCTGCGATTAAAATGTGAAGAACGGCCGGTGTGGGGTGAAGGATCAGTTGTCTCCATACACCTTCGCCGTGGCTTTGTTTCGTGACCGGAACAACGTCGTCGTTTAAGTGCATGGAGATGCCTGCAGCTTCTTTGATGTCGTCTAGCCTGAGTTGAGCCTCTTCTTTGGAAGTTGAGGTTTTGTCGAGAACTCGCTTGGCATCCCCGAGTCGTCCCTGCATGACGAGCCAACGAGGTGACTCGGGCATGGCTAAAACGCCGACGGCAAGAACCACCGCTGGAAGTGCACCGACGCCGAGCATGTACCTCCAGCCCAAGTTGGTTGGGAGCTTGGAGAAGGCATAATTGGATACGTACCCCAATAATATGCCAAGATTGACAAACACCTAGACACACACACACATATATATATATATATATATATTTTTCCAAATAAACAAATTAATCAATTAGTAAAAATTCCACAGCTACTGTCCGAAAACAAATATACATACACAATTAATCACAACTCTTTTTTCTTAATTAATTTTGTTTTTGGGTTTGATTAATCTGAAACAAAATATACATAATTCTTTGTAGTTCAATAGTTACAACTGCAGCTCAGGTCTTATGTTCATATTACTTGTATAAAAATTGAAGCAAAATATAAAGCATGAGGTACTTGTGGAATCTAATTACCAAAAAAGAAAAAAAAATAAAGTAAAGAGACAAATAATGAAACAAAACAAACCTCTGGGAAAGATGTGAGGAAGCCACGAGACAACGTCGGAGAGATCTCGACGGTGTAGACTGGGGCGATCATGAGACCGTAGCCGACGCCAATTCCAGCGACGAATCGGCCAAACATGAGGAAGGCGTAGCCGGGAGCGAGACCCATGAGGAGAGCTCCGAAAAAGAAGATGACTCCAGAGAGGACAACGGTGTACCGGCGGCCGATCCAATCAGAGGTTCGGCCGGCCAAGGCGGAGCCAATGAGGGAGTAGATATTTAGAGTGCCCGCAAGGACTGCGGTTTCGGTGTCGCTTAATTTGAGGTCATTTTGGATGAAGATATTCGCCCCACTCATTACACCAATATCTGTGCACACAAAATTAATATAATTAAACCACACTCCAGTACAATTCATGCACTTTTCCGGGGGCTAACAACAATTAGGAAAGAAAAAATAAATTTTATTTGGCTCATGAATTTTGAAGAACTGAGGGTGTAAAGGATAATTACCATAACCCAATAAGATTGAAGTCGTGCAAGCCAAAATGGCGCAGGCTATAGCGAACTTGTTTGTCTTGGGTTTCTGTGGGAGATCAAAGTCTGCAATACGATGGTCGTTCTGGAGTTGGCCGGAGACAGCATTGTCTTCTACTCTTCGGTCAGCCATTTTGATAGTTGGATGGAGAGAGAGAGAGAGAGAGAGAGAGAGAGAGAGAAGGAGTGATCACTTATCAATAAGCGATGAGGGATAGAAAGAGAGAGGAAGAGAATATATAAGCTGACTCTTAACCTATAGAAGTTGTATGGTTTCTTTCCGTTAGTTAGCTGGAGCTGCTGTTGTTTTGGGCTGGTGCCTGAGTTGGTTTTGTTTTTGGAAACAAATTCTGGTTTCTATTAGCGGCGCCAATCAAATGGGATTGACTGCTTGAAATCTGATCAACAGAGAAGCATGAAGACACAAATGGATTAAAGGTCGTGACAGGTTTCTTTTAGTGAGAAAAACAATATTGACCCAACAATGAAAGAAAATAACAGAAAGGTCCAACTGTTCCTTCGTTAGACATGGATATATTAATTCTTGATCCAAAAAAAAAAATTTCAGTTGGATATATTAACTGATCTCATTTTGGGAGCTCATGGGGTTGGTTGGTCCTCATGGACCGGTCCATTCAGCTTGATCTGTGGCCTTCAGGATAAGTTGCAGCATAACTAACTGCCTTGTACATATATATGCTAATCCAGAGTGTTCCATGAAAGAACTAATCACAATGAAATTAATTGTCTCCATACACCCTCTGGATTAGAGCTAATCCAGACTGTTCCATGAAAGAACTAGATCACAATGAAATGAATTGTCATTTTATCAGAGATAAAATTTTAGATGGTTCAATCATTACAAGATATGTATCATCTTCACGGCAAGTAGCAGGCATCTTGACTAACGCCTTAGGAACAAGGGAAGAACTACGTGGGCTAACTAAAGTTATTAGCTTAAAAATCTAAAAATCTTTTTTTATTGGTACTTACAATTTCTACGGTCTTTCTAGAAATAAAAGTAAACATTAAATCATATAAACCACGATCATTCATAATTTCATTGACTAATTTCCAATAATTTTTTTTTTATACTCAATACTGGTGAGGGGAAATTGGACCTAGGACCTCGAGTGCAAGACTAAATGCTAATATCCACTAAGCTTTAGCATAAAACAAATGTTGGTGTGAGTCAAAGTGAATATTCCTATAAGGATTAGAATTTATATTTTATTGTAATTATCTAATTTGAGTAGAATTAGGAGATTTTGTACATATTTCTTATTTGTACCCACTCCGTATGTAGTATATATATCCCTCCTTGATAGAAGAATAAACATATTAGTTCAAACCCTAATTACTTTTGAGTTGGTGTCATAGCGGTTTTCAATCTGTCTCTACAACATCAAAAAACCTAACCTTAAACACTACTTATTTTTCCATTGCGCTGTATTCTTAGCCGCTCTAATCCTATTTCCACCGCTAACACGTCTAGCCACCCCTTAATCCACCATCGCCGTCGTCGCCGCATTTGTCTCCATTGCCGCTGTTGTCGCCTGTCATCATGTCTGATGTCAATGACTCTATTGTCTCACCAAATTCACCTACTGCTACTCCTTACCTTTGTTATGACGGTTCACAATAAGTCATCCCCTAATTTACCTATGAGATTCAAATTGAATGGATCCAATTATGAGATATGGGCTTCGATGATCGAACTTCATGCTACTGTGTAAGGAAAATTGGGATACTTAACTGGCGATACTGATGCCCCGGATTCCCAAGACTCACAATTTGGGAAGTAGAAGATTGCTGATTCTACTGTGAAAAATTGGATGCTGTGAACTATGGAACCCGGATTGTTGAGTATGTTTCATACTTTCCCTACTGCTAAGGATATTTGGGATGCTGTTAATCAGATGTTTCATGATGGCTTTGACATATCCCAGCTCTATGAACTATGGTGCTAGGCTACCTGTCTCAAGCAAGGGGGTCGTTCCGTCTCCATCTATTTTTCCTAACTCAAGGCAATTTGGCTTGAATTGGACAAGAGACATCATTTTCAAATGAAGTGTGCTGATGATATGAAGACTTTTCAGGTTACTGTTATGGCAGATCTCGTGTATGATATTTTGGCTGGCCTTGACGATACTTATGACAAGATCCGCAATGATATTCTACACAGTGATAAAGTTCCAAGTATCGAAAATGTCTTTTTTATGGTCCGTCGAGAGGCTCAAGGCCATATTACTATGCTTGAATCCAGCACCAAGATCGGGGAACCTGCTGTTGTGTTTGCTTCCAAAAACACTGCTCTGGTTTCTCGGCATACAGGGTCTGACTCCTCACCTGACTTCTGCAAAAAAAAGACAAACTGAAGTGTGACCACTATGGTGAAAAGAGACATACTATCGACACCTGCTAGGCATTGCATGGGGTACCAGATTGGGAGAAGGAATGAAGGTGTTCAAAAAAGGAATAATTGGACTGCAAAGCTCATGTGGCTCCTACCGCCACTTTTATGGCTGACGTCACCACTAGGCATGACCACATTACTGTTACTCCTGCTCCGGCCATGACCGCGATCTCAAGCACTCCCACACCGCCGCCTCCAACAAACTTTGGTAGGGCTTTCCATGCCCTTGATACATGTGGTATAGGTTGGATTATTGATTCGTGAGCTACTGACCATATGACGTATATTTTTGCTTTATTCTCTACTACATTTCTTGCAAAAGAATTAGTGTCGAGGTAGGGGATTTCTTGGAGGCCTTTACGGGGATTAATTTAATTAAATTTCATGAGCACTATATTTTGGGTGGTATTATAATTTGATGGATGTTCTTAATGTTATATAATGTTCTTGATATTGAGTGTTTACGTGTTAATTATTTGATTAATGTTGGCATGATTATATGTACATTGGTGATATTTAAATGATTACATTTTTTTATTTATGAGATATGCAAAAAGAAGAACTATATCATGTCATGGAAATTCATTGGAGTTCTTGGATTGAGAAAATAATGATGAAAAATAGGGTAATGGAAATGATCTTCTGTGTAGTTGAGTCTAACTCTTGGTAGGTACCAGATCTTAGGGATCCCATAGTACACATGGTGTTTATTGAGTTATGCGGGGCTAGAGACAAGAACTTAGATAAGATGCCTAACAAAAGGGGATTTATGGGATGATTGAGATGGAGGTTAGTTCATATAAATGAACATTCGAGACCAAGTGGTATAAGCATGATATAGAACATGCAGGTCTGTTTGTCCAGTTATACAATTTAACAAGAATAGATGCAGAGCATACATGCATTATTATTATCGATATGATATTTGACTGAGTGATTGCATGTCACTTAATTTAGTTTTATCAATCTAACGTGAAAAGTTTTATGTCTCTACTAAGCTGTGGTTTCGCTTACCCCTTAACATATTTTGCAGGTACTAAACCTGAAATCTAGGACTTGAGATTATTTTGGCATGTCTATACAACATATTATGTACATAGCTTATGGTTGAATAATGAGCTACTCTTTTAGTGAACTCTTGAGTGGTTCTAACTTGTAAAATAATATAATGGTGTAAGATTTCAAATGTTTCCGTTTACAATTCTATGTGAAATATTTATTTATTTATTTATTTATTTTAATGTTCTTCACATTTTAATTAGAGTTTTTATTAAATTCTATAATTAAGGTGTGAATCACGCCTTAATCTAAGATTACGTAAATCCGTGGATTGGGGCGTGACACTCATCTCCGAGCATGAATCAACAAGAACAGTTGTTCAAAATGCACTACAGATTTGATCTTGAAACCCCAAGATTAAGCCGAATGTTACCTCTGAAATTCCTAGCTTTTTGTCCTCTTTCATCTGAATTTTTGAGGGCTAGATCGGCGGTTTCCAGCCACCAATGGTTGAGATCTCTTCATGAAAGTTGTTCTCCTTCCTTTCCTATGTGGTTTTGCTCCAAGACCCGACGCAATCCATTGCCATAGAGCTCCAATCAACGATGACAAAGTCCTAGATTTTCAGGCGAGAAAACCCACTATTCGAGGTTGTTAATGGTCGAATTAGACTTTGCCCCAAGTTAAAAAGTTATTCCTCTTGTCATGCTTGTTCTTTTGACATAAGTATTGACTGGTGGTTTGGAGTTTTTTTATTACCGGAAGTTTACTCAAGACACCACTATTGACGACAACGCCGGGTGTTAGTGCTTTGTTTTAAAGTTCAGTTTTCGGACAGTTTGGTAGTCTAATCATTGTGTTCTCTCAAATAGGTACTTAGGCTACACGTACCCCATAGGAACGACCCTTTCAAGGTTGATCAATGTTGGACTTTTCGTGAATGGACATTTGTTTTCAAATGAGAATGATCTTTCAAATTACAACTTGCATGTGTAATTTTGAGATTTGGTAAACTCTTTATTATAATTTTATTATGGTTTTCATAAAGGAATATGGGCTATATATTTATATATATATACAGAGAGCTTCCATTGAGGGATCCCTCAAATAAGCTTATTTGAGGGATACCCCTTGTAAGCCCACTCTGGATTGTATTTCACTAATCCAAACCTTTTATTTTGTAGATACTCATTCAAAGATCGTCTCTACAAAAAAATCACTTGAATCCAATATCATTTGACCATTCAATTGAGTTATTGAAATATTAGTACTTTCTTGAAGCACTATGTTCATTGATTTTGTAGGACACAATTGGATGTTGAAACGGTTTCCGATTTGTCTAATTTTTTGTAAGGATGATCTATGAATGAAGACCTAAAAAATATATGGTTTGGATTATTGGAAAAAAAAAATTGAAGGCCGTAAATACAAATCATCATCACAAAATCACAACAAAAAAAAAAAAAAAAAAAAAAAAAAAAAAAAATTGAATCCAATATCATTTGACCATTCAATTGAGTTATTGAAATATTAGTACTTTATTGAAGTACCATGTTCATTGATTTTGTATGACACAATTGGATGTTGAAACGGTTTCCGATTTGTCTAATTTTTTGTAAGGATGATCTATGAATGAAGACCTAAAAAATAGCTGGTTTGGATTATTTGAAAAATAAAAATAAAAAAAATTGAAGGCTACCCTAAAGGGCGTCCCTCAAATAAAATTATTTGAGGGATCCCTCAATAGAAGGGGACTGTATAAAATATATATATATATATATATATATATAGCTTGCACCATTTTTTGTGCCTTCCTTAGTTCAATATAGATACTTGGATACTTGGGACACATGGAAGGCTCCCAAAGAGGTGTGTCCGCAAGACACACAAAAGGCTCCTTGGAGGGTGTGTCGAACCCATTTGGAAATTGATATCTGAGACACATGAAAGGCTCCCAATGGGGTGTGTCCACAAAACACACGGAAGGCTCCTTGGGGGGTTTGTCGGACCCAGTCACATTTGGCGGGGTGGACTGTAGATCATTTAGTAAGGCTGTTTGCGCACGTATGACGGATATTCAGCCACATGTGCGATGCGATTTCGGCATGTGTTTTAGGAGCAAGAGTCCTCTCTGGTTGGACTTCTCGTCCCTAATCACATGTCCGATTCGATTCCAGCATATGTCTAGTAAAACAGTTCCCGTGTTGGACTTGTTTTGCCCTGGTACATGTTTCTGTGTGATGCCTATGGATATTATATGTATGTATGTATGTATAAATGAAAGTATTCTATATTTGAGATTTCTTAGGCATGTGCATGGAGGGTACTCTGCATAAGTATGATGATTTATGTGGTTTAATATTGGGATGGATATCTTTTTGATCACATGATGTATAAGATGTTTTACAAGCATACACCTTGGGAAGGGCGTGTTTGAGGGAGAAAGTATTTGAAATGTGTCTTCCTTGGATTTAGATATAATATAGATTTCCGATTATAATACTTCAAAGTATTGAAATATATTTATGCATAAAGGATTTAATTGCATGGTTGACATTATTTCTAAAACAAAAGGGGTTAATATGTTCATTATAACTTATGTTCAAAACTTTATTTTTGTCCACTCACACTTTTGTACTTTGCTCCCCCCAGGCTATAGCGTGACAAGATCCATGATTTCACGTTGAGCTTTCCTTCCAGCACACTCTATTTCCTTCTGTAGGACTTCTTGATTGTATTTTGTGTAACTACCTTTTGTTGTAACTTAAAACTACTTACTACGTATGCCCTAGTATTACCTTTGTTAGAATTGGATTTCTGGCCTAAGGCCTCTTGAACAGTGTAAACTTGTGTGACTTAACTTGCTCTTGCATAAAGTTGGGATTTTCTGTTATTACTTAGTTTTACACGTGGTTACTCTTTGAGAAGTGTTCTTTTACAGGGAAGACTCTGTCGATTTTTCTGTAGAAGTCTTTGCCTTTCTTGGGAAAGAAAGGCAGTCTAGTAAAATGGGTCAGTACCTGCCAGGTGTTCGACAAACACAAGATTTGCCACAGGTTTTGAGGAAGAATCTGGGTACTGTGAACTTAGTATCAAAGCATTAGGTTAACTTCCTATAAACTTCGCACCTTGTGTGCCTACTTGAATCTGACAACTTTTTGTCTTTCCTTTTAACGTCACGCGTCATAGACGTGGTAAACCGAAGACTCACAGCCAAAGGGCTGAGGAGCCCAATCCACCACCACCACCTCAGCCACAACCCGTGATGTCAGCTCCACCACCACTTCCACCTGTTGTTGAGGGAACATGTGAGAATCAGCTTAGAGCACCACCACTGAGGCAAGAGCCTGAACTACTTGAGGTTCTTGATCAATTGACACGAACAGTTGTTACAGTGTCACATGGTAGGGGCTAGAGTGAGACTTCTAACATCGAAAAAGCCAAGAAATTAGGAGCTCCTACCTATTCAGGAAGTGCAAAACTAGCAGAGGATGAATATTGGTTCATTAAGTTGGAAAGAGTGTTTTGAGGTTATGAGGTGCCCCACTGAGGATCGAGTTTGGTTGGCTACTTTCCTTTTAAAGGTGAATGTTTTTTAGTGGTGGGAAACTGCTCAACAAGATTAGCATGATCCTACTGCCATTCTTTGGGCAGAGCTTGAGCAGATCTTGTATAATCAGTTCTACTAGCATTGTTATCAGGATACTAAGCGAGCCGAATTTCTAAGGTTGAATCAAGACTCAATGACTATATTGGAGTATGAGCACAAGTTTAATGAAAAGAAGTGCAAATGGTTCGAATGAGGATTATGGAAAGAGATTCAGACAGTTGTGACTGTAGTTACTTACCATTCGATAAGAGCCTTGGCGCAAGCAACGAATCAAGTGGCGAAAACACCTAGTCCACCTGGTGCGGCGAGACGACAACTAGATAAGACGAGCTATGGAAGAAAAGTCCAGGTCCATTAAAGAGAGATGGTTTTAGTTTTGGTTCTTGAGGTAGTGTTTGGTCATGGGGATTCAGATTAGGTTCTGGAAATGAAAAATCTGGTCCCATGCCAACTTGGAGTCAGAACTCATATCAACAATCAGTTGCTAGTACATTTCAAGATTCTTCACAGTCGAGTGGATATCGAGACTTGCAGAGTGGGTCAAGCTAGCAGCTTGGCCAAGGTTGGACACTTTAGGACACTTTAGATGCCAAAAACCAGTTGTTGTATGATTGCCAAAAAGTGGGTTTGATCATACGTGACTCACATGGTGGGC